AAAAGGGATTATGGATCTACCAAGGAGCTGCCACCGATTTTTCAGCCCTCACGGTCGTCGGATAAAATCTAGAAAAAATGAAAAAAAAAAAATGGGATTATGGATCTACCAAGGAGTTGCCCCTGATTTTTCAGCCCTCATGGTCGCCTGATAAAACCTGGAAAAAATGAAAAAAAAATGGGATTTTGGATCTACCACTGAGCTGCCCCCGATTTTTCAGCCCTCAGGGTCGCCCGATAAAACCTGGAAAAAATGAAAAAAAAAAAAAATGGGATTATGGATCCGCCACCGATCTTTCAGCCCCTCATGGTCGCCCAATAAAACAAAAAAAAAAAAAAAAAAAAAAATGGGATTATGGATTTACCAAGGAGCTGCCCCCGATTTTTCAGCCCTCACGGTCGCCCGATAAAACCTGGAAAAAATTAAAAATGAAAAAAAAAATGGGATTATGGATCCACCAAGGAGCTGCCCCCGATTTTTCAGCCATTCACGGTCGCCCGATAAAACCTGAAAAAAATTTTTAAAAAATGGGATTATGGATCTACCAAGGAGCTGCCCCCGATTTTTCAGCCCCCACTCACCCAGGATGTTGTCGTGCCGGAGAAGGACGGTGTTGTAGATCTCGGTCTCGCGGAACCACGACTGCTCGTCCCGCGAGGAGAAAATCTTCACGGCCACGCTCTCGCCGTGCCACACGCCGCGCCAGACCTCGCCGTAGCGTCCTTTACCTGATGTGGATGTGGCACTGTGTCACTTGGTGTCCCCAAAATCTCAGAGCAGCATGTCACCCCCAAAACCCGGAGCATTGTGTCACTCGGTGTCCCCCCAAAAAACTCAGAGCAGCGTGTCACCCCAAAATCCACAGCATCATGTCACCACCAAAACCTGGAGCAGCGTGTCACTCAGTGTCCCCCAAAAACCAGAGCACTGTGTCACTCGGTGTCCCCAAAAAACTCAGAGCACTGTGTCACCCCAAAATCCACAGCACCATGTTACTCGGTGTCCCCAAAAGCTCAGAGCACCGTGTCACCCCAAAACCCAGAGCGACGTGTCACTCGGTGTCGCTCCCAAAACCCAGAGCACTGTGTCACCCCCAAAACCCGGAGCACAGTGTCAC